TGGAGTCCAGCATCGGCTTCAACCTTCCCAAAGCACTGGAATTGTGTGCAAAAGAGGTAGCTGTGCACAAGGCTTCCCACCCTGTTTAGGGAAACCAACTACATTGTCCCATGCCACTTTCTTCTTGGAGTGAAAAGGTGTCTGCAACCTGTACCTCTGCAGAACTTGTAGTACTGCCAGGTCGGTGACACTGAGTCCAGACTGTGGTATGGAGGGATGTGGATGGTGGTGAACTCTGTCACTGGTGGCCCTTAGAAGTATGTTTGTGCTGCTTTAGATTTTTCCTACCATCGCCTTTGTAGTTTTATATTTTTCTTAGCACTGAGCCTCAAGCCAAGTCTGCCATGGGTTAAACACACTTTGGAACTAGACTACATCCCCCAAGCCCCAACTCCAAATCATATATGTGCTCTATCCTTTTAAAAATGAGGATGTGATTCCCACCAACAGTGAAGGAGTGTTCCCTTTGCTCTGCATCCTCTCCAACATTGACTGTCATTAGTGTTTTTGATCCTAGCCATTCTGACAGATGTAAGGTGGTATCTCAGAGTCATTTTGATTTGCATTTCTCTTATGATTAGGGATGTTGAGCATTTCTTTAAATGTCTTTCAGCCATTTGTGATTCTTCTTTTGTGAATTCTCTGTTTAGTTCTTTAGCCCATTTTTAAATTGGATTGCTCAATATTTTGATGTCTAGTTTCTTGTGTGTGACTCTGTTCATGCCTTTTCAGAACACTGGAGTAGATAAATGTTTTTCCACAATGCTTACATGCAAATGGCTTTGCTCCAGTGTGAATCATTTCATGACTCTTCAGATTACTGGAGTGGGTAAATGCTTTTCCACAATGCTTACATGCATAAGGCTTCTCTCCACTGTGAAGACTTTCATGTCTTTTTCAAGTACTAGGGTCAGTGTAGGCTTTTCCACAATGCTTACATACATAAGGCTTCTTTCCAGTGTGATTCCTTTTATGTGTTCTCAGATTACTGGAGCAGTTAAAGGCTTTTCCACAATGCTTACATGCATAAGCCTTCTCTCCAGTGTGAATTATTTCTTGAATGTTCAGATGACTGGGGCGGGTAAATGCTTTTCCACAATGCTTACAAGTATAATGCTTCTCTCCTGTGTAAGTTACTTTATGTTTCTCAAAACATTTTGCATATCTAAATGTTTCACCACATTGCCTACAATTGTACCTTTTCTTTCCAATATGACTATTTTTATTGTTGATAAGGTCACTGGAATTAATAAAGGCTTCTTCACAGAGTTTACCTACAAATTGTTTCACTTCTTTATGGATTACTTTATCATTTTGAACATATGTGTATCTTGTTAAGTCATTCTCATTGAGATTATCTGTAGTTTGAATACTCTCCTGAGGCTGATCAAAACAGAGGCTTGTACAGGCTTCATTAAATTGTTGACTTTTACAGGGCTTCTCCTTAGGAGAAATTTCAAGTACCTGAAGTGACTGAGAAAGACTGATATCGTTCCAATGCTTCTGATGTATAAAAGCTGTTGCCATAGCTTTCTTTCATACAGATGGTAGCCCTGTAGTTTGGATTCTGATACCCATGTGAGGATGAATGACCAATGATGTTTCTTACATACAAAGGACTCTCATGAACTCTTACTGCTGGAAGCATCTCTATATTAATGATATTCTCTGTAATATGATCCTGGTTTTTATCACACTCACTATCACATTTGTATCCACATTCTTTCTCAATCACCTGAGTTCTGCAAAAGATGAGAAGAGCATTACTGTAAATTAGGGAAATATTGGAGGAGGCTGGCTTGTGTGGACCACTACAAATATACTATCTCAGAGGTAACAGAAGAATCCAGTCAATGTTAAGGACAGTATGGACCACATGTAAAGACCCTGCTATGTGTAAAGAAGTCTACTTAAGTATATTTCACTTTAGGTATATTTTGGTAGGTTGTCCGTTGTCCCATGATTCCCAAATATTTGAGATTAATTCCTTCCTAGTGAAAGTAAATTACCCCATTTTTCTGAGATCTTTGCAGTCCTCTCCAAATTTTTCTTCTACTGCTTTATCTAGAAGAAAATCCAGAGAATACATGACATATTCATATTTAACATAAAAGGTATTACAACCTATCTCTTACAACATGGGTATTTATACTATATTCACAACATATTCCATTCAAGAATTCAAATACCAACAATACACACCTAAGCAGGACACAATTGTTCTCTGACTGAATAAATAATGGGAGCATGTTGGTTTTTTTTTTTAAACGTATGGAGATCAAGTTCAAAATGTTTCCTTCATCACAATACTGTAGAGCTTCTTTTGACTAGAATCCAACAAAGCCCACTCTTCTAAGGTGAAGTTCACAGCCACATCCTCAAAGGTCACTGGCTCCTAAGAGTGCATATATTAGGATGATTAATTTTAACTGACAGACTGACAGGATACAGAATCATCTAGCATAGATGTTTCTGAAAATACCTCTAAATAATCCTGTACATAGAATTAACTGAAGCATATCTGCAGAATGTTATCTTTATTACTTGGTGTAATATAGGAAGACCCACTGCCTCATTAGTAATCCACTGCCCTTAGGAAACATCATGATATAGCAACTAATATAAAACAAAGTCTTTAATTGGGGCTTGCCTACACTTTTAAAGAGTTACTCAGTGATTATTATTGCGGAAGCAGACAGGCATGGAGCTGGAACACATTCAAAACAACACCCATAGCCATTTGAGTGGTATTTTGTGAACTCTATGGGGATTACATTAGTGGGAGGAGGGAACTGAGACATAGACAAATACACTTTACTCTCTTCCTGATTGTATGCACTGTGACTAGCAGCTTCATTGTTCTGAATTTTATGAACTGTACCCTTCAATTGTGATATGAAATACAATCCTTCTACCTAAAGTCACTTTTTTCAGAGCCATTTATGAAAGCTGGATGAAAAGCCTACTATATGGAAGACATATAAGGGCTGAGGAGATGACTCAGTGGTTAATAGCATTGGCTTCTCTTTCAGAGGTCCTGAGTCCAATTCCCAACAACCCTCATTATAGAGACCTGCCCCACCGGGAACTTAGGTCACCTGTGAAGAGGTGGCCTGGAACTCCAGGTAAGTGCCACCCTCTTACCTGGAGACAATCAGACGCAGCGGGGAGTCAAGTCAAGCAAGAACTCGTTTATTGATAGGCAGTAAGCCTCTTTTATACCAGAAAACCTCAGAACCCTAGGAGGGGGTGAAGGAACCAACCAGTCATTTTAAAGGTCACCTTATTTACAAGTTGTTTACAACCTGACATCATCTCCTGTTTTCAGTATCTTATCTTAGCATAAATAACTTGAGCTAACTTTCTTTTTCACTATTCCTCTTTAATCTCCATACAAACAACCCACGCTAACTTCCTCTTAGTCATCCTTTGTATCTATTCTTTGCACAAACAGCTTTAACTTCCTCTGGTACCATTTGTATCCACTCTGCATAAACAGCTTAAAGCTTAAGCTCTGTTTATCTACATTTCTCTCAGCACCCTCTTTGCAGCCCATGTATGCCCCACAGATTCCCCCTTTTTGTTTTTTAAATAAGGTGGGCTGTTTATCTGTTTGGCATTCCCCCCTCCTTTTTTTTTTAAAGTCAAACCCAACATTTACTGAGAACACAGAAAATCAGCTGACAGATCAGTCCTACTGTCCCCCAGTGATTTAGTTATGAAGCAAACACAGTATAGGTTTTTAGTCCTAACACTAGTTAAAAATTTTAGGGGATTTCTCTAAAAAGTCTGTTTTTACCAATGTTATGGGCAAGAGAAAAAGCTTTTACTATCTAAAGTATTTACATGAACATTCACAGAGAGAAGAGTTAAGAAACCAGTTAAAGGTACAAAGAGAGAGTTATCCTTCCCGACCCCTACCCCCAAAGACGGCTGATGATTTCCAAAACGAGGCTGTTTTAGTCACAATTAGGAATTATTAGGATCAGTCCATCTTTGAGTCCAGTCTCATGGAGAATTGTCAGCCCCACACCTCCGGAGAAGGTTGGTGCTGAGTTGTCCTCCTCATACACGGTCACCAGTGTCCATTCTGCACTTGGCCTCCAGCACATACTTCTGAAACTCTCAGTCCAAGGCCCAGTGAGTACTCACCTCCAAGCTGTCTGGGTTGCAACAGAAAGGCAGACTCTCCCGCTCTTAGAGCCCAGAGGTCCTGGGATTTGAGGGAGCTACACGCTGGGAAGGAGTCTTTGATGAAGGAGAAGTACACACAGGCACAGCCTGGCCAATGACATCCGTCCTCCCGCTGGGTTGCGGACCCCACGAAGACCTGGAGGAAGATGGTGAGCAAGGGGAAGCCACCATTGTGAATGTTGAGCTGTTCCCAGGAACTGTGGTCCAGGCTTTTGGTTGAAGTAGAGAAGGTTAGTGTCCTCTTGGATGTAGATCCAATCATCTTCATGCAGCCATGTGCAGAAAGATGCTGGCCCAAGTGAAAGCTGGGGACTTCTTCAGGAGCATAGAGCAGAGATATGCCATACGCTGTTCCACATACAGCCTCTCTCAGTAAGCATCCCTTGAGAAGCAGAGGTCCAGCAGGCCTTCACTCAGCAACAGCAACAGAAAAGACAGTTTTAACCTCAGCCCTGGGGTGCCGGATGTCACTTTCACCATTGGTTGTGCGTCCAAGGGCTGCAGCGGAAGACCAGGTTGGTCTGTGGCAGTGGGGTGCGGCCACACTAAAGGCCATCTCGGTATAGTCGCCATTGTCCCCAGGCTCCGAGGACGTTGAGGAGCCAGTAGTGGGGCCCTGGGAAGTGGTAGCCGATACTGGAAGCAGGTGGTAGAGTTATCCTGGGGTGGGTGTCAGAGGCTGCTGCAGGGATGATGGGGAGGCCGAAGAATGTGGGGGCAGCGGTGGTGTGGGAATGAGACCTCTGGGCTGTAGCAGGAGCCGGGAGGAGCAGAACGACCATTGGCTGGAGTACTGCCATCTGATGTCACAATAGCACACACTTGCAGCTCATGTAGCCAGGGCCGCTCCTATCAGGAGGGTTTAGCTCCCGTAATTTGTGTTGCCGAATCTCACGGACAAGTGTGTAGAAGGCATCCTCTACACCCTGCCGGGTCCTGGCTGAGGTTTCGATATAGGGGATGCCATAACTGCAGGCAAGGTCCTGGGCCTGCCAAGACTTAACAGTACGAGCAGCCAGGTCACACTTGTTCCCCACCAGCACCATTGGCACATCATCCAAGTTTTTTATCCATTTGATGTGCTCCCTGTACTGATGGATGTTGTTAAAGGACTTGGTGCTGTTGATGGCAAATACACAGAGGAAACCCTCCCCTGTGTGGATGCATTGGTCCCTCACGGCACCACATTCCTCCCAACCCGCTGTGTCTAGGATGTCCAGCAGACATGTTTCCCCATCAATGACCACCTGTTTTCGATGCAAGTCCTCTATGGTGGGGTCATATTCATCCACAAAACGATTCTGGATCAGCTGGATGGTCAGGGCACTCTTTCCCACACCTCCAGCACCCACCACCACAAGCCTGTATTTTGTCATTAGTTTTTGTAGGGACTGTCACTCCAGGAGCTCCTGCCCCACAGGGGGCATGAAAGAGTGGCTGGGGAGCAGAAGGCCCTGATTGGGGCCCTGACGCTGGTGTCCTTGTAGCCCTGAGGCCAGAGTGTGATGGCCACGGGGTGCAGAATAACTGAATATGGGGGCTAATTTCCCCTTTTGTTCTATTAAAACAAAAACATATTTAAATTTAACAGCTATTTATCAGAGGTTTTTTGGCTCTGGGGTTAACTCCCTGCATTTGTAAAGGGGGTACCTTTAGGAAGGGTTGGCATGCCTTGTATGGACTATTTTTTTATGTCAATATCCTAAATCCCAATGCCAGCTCATCAGCTCGACGGTTTCCCTCGGACAGAAATCCTGGAAGCCCAGAATGCCCCCTCACATGTTGTATAGGGCATTCCCGTCCCTCCAGTAATCCCTTAAGGGCAACCATGAATGGGGAAATTAACTACATACTCTGTTGGACTCCATCTATGAACTCCGGTAGGGGTTTGTTGGGTTTTTGTCTTATCCCTGCTATGGGAGATTTGGTAGGCCTTTATCTAATTTGTCCCAGGCTACAAGCCCCATTTGTCTAACCTGATCTCGATAAGGACCTTGTACAACCACCTGTTGGACCCCTGTAAAGTATCCTTCAGCTGTACGTGCTAGCATGCCATAGGTGATAGGGATGGGGGGGTTGGGCACCCGATTGGCCTCTACCCTGGTCTGGCATTCCTCCTTATTTTTAGCCTCCAAGGGGTACCACTCTAGAGCTCTATTAGGGCTGGGGGTCAACTTTTCCCCTGGCCCATACCTCCCAGTGAGGGGCTGGTTGTAGGGGTCCATATCACAGAGATCTCTCCTTAATGCCATGTACGGTGTTTGAGCAGCCTCAGCCTGGGATCCCAAGGTGAAGAAGGGCCAGAATCCCTTGAGGCCCAGGGCTTGGGCACAGTGATTTTTACTTTTGCTTTAACCTCTACCGTATATTTCTCTGTGAATATCACATGCTCCTCGCCGAATTTGGCCCAACTATTTTTTTCTTTACTCTCAAGAGCTTCCCCATCCTTTTTGGCCCCTGGGGGGGGGGGGCGTGTTTTTCTTTCTTTCTTTTCTAACCCTTGGGGAGAATCATTCTCCCTCTTTGACTCCTGAAAAGGGGGTGGCAGAGAATCTGGGTGAAAAGCCACCTTAAAGGCCATGATAGTGGGGTAGAAGCCCAGGGACAGCAATATGCCAAAATGTTTCTCCCTTTCTCTTGCCAGCTTTTCCATTTGGGCCCAAAGTGCTGCAGGAGAAAAGGTTGGCACTAGGCACCCAAATGGCAAGGAGAATTATAATCTCCCAGGTGGCGACAATATTACTTTTAGAAATTTCAAGCCCTTTAGACTTAAACATATAACGCAGGACCTTGAGGGCTGGCTTATCAGTTGAGGAGGTTGCATTACCCATACTGAAGGTTTCAGTTACCCTGGAAGACCGCTTGGCCTGGGCTGAAGTACTTCAAGCCCCACGTTAGGGTGCCAGCTGTGGGGACCTGCCCCACTGGGAACTTAGGTCACCTGTGAAGAGGTGGCCTGGAACTGAGGAAAGGTAAGTGCATGCCGCTCGCCCGTTCCCCAGCCTCCCTCTTACCTGGAGACAATTAGACGCAGCGGGGAGTCAAGTCAAGCAAGAACTCGTTTATTGATAGGCAGTAAGCTTCTTTTATACCAGAAAACCTCAGAACCCTAGGAGGGGGTGAAGGAAACAACCAGTCATTTTAAAGGTCACTTTATTTACAAGTTGTTTATGCCCTGACATCATCTCCTGTTTTCAGTATCTTATCTTAGCATAAATAACTTGAGCTAACTTTCTTTTTCACTATTCCTCTTTAATCTCCGTACAAACAACCCAAGCTAACTTCCTCTTAGCCATCCTTTGTATCTATTCTCTGTACAAATAGCTTAAACTAACTTCCTCTAGTACCATTTGTATCCACTCTCTGCATAAACAGCTTAAAGCTTAAGCTCTATTTATCTACATTTCTCTCAGCATCCTCTTTGCAGCCCATGTATGCCCCACACCCCATAGTGGCTCAAAACCATCTACAATAGAGGCAGACCTTTTCAGTCATGCAGGCATACATGCAAAGACAGCCCATCATATACAAAAATAAATACATCTTAAAAAAGAAATACATTTAAAAATTGGGGCCATTGTTGTAAGTATACTTAACCAGGTTCTTTGTAGGCATGTTTAACATGTTTTGGAAAGATTGTGCAGGAAGTAGCAAGATAGGTGTCTTTTTGGTTTTTTGGTTTTTTTTTTAAAAGAAGAAAACCAATTGAACACACTGAACACAAAGCTGAATGTATCATTCTAGTAGATGCTTCAAGTCAAAAGTGCTGAAAGAAATGCCTGCAGGGAGACAAGGATCAGGAAGGCTCAGTGGGAACAAGAATTCTGTCAGGAACTGTCTTACTATAGTCAAGAACATAACTTCATTTGGCCCTACATCAGAGATTCTGAAATGAACTTGAATGTAAAGATTTTGGAGTACCCTGTTAGATGAAATGAGCGTGAGCAAGCTACAGTGTTAAACAAAGGGAGCAGTTGGAATTGATAACAAGTTTACTGCTTTGCACTGGGCCAGTGGTGAAGCAGGGAAAACTGAGCAACTTTGAACTTTACTTGGCTTGGGCTCTGCACAAAACCCTCTCTGAACAAGGAAGCTAGCAGCCTGTTGATTTCCTTACTGGGACAATCATCTTCAGTTGGCTGTATCTCTATCTGCTTTAAAAAGGACAAGTTATTTCCTTTAGTAACTATTATGTTCAAATAACTTTTGGAAAACAGGTATGCAAGAAATTCTAAAATACTCAAAACACTTTACATCATGTCAGTCAAAAATTGGGCAGAATGGGACTGGCCCTCAAGGAGGCCACCCTAGCTAAGAAGGTATTGGCAGTTGATAGCTTTGGGAGTATAGACACATTATCTTCAGGAATGTGGTCACTAGTATAATGCTCATACCCTATGGATAGCTACACACATTTGTACAGCACTAACTCCACTCAGTGGGTAACAAAAACAAATAAATAAAGACACAAGACTGGAGATATGGATCAGGGGTTAAGAGCGTGAGCTGCTCTTCCAAGGGAACTGGTTTCCATCCCCAGGACTTACATGGCAGCTCACAACTGTCTGTAACTCCAGTATCATGGGGTCTGGCATCCTCACACAGGCATACATTCAGGTAAATGTCTGTGGCATACAACATCAAAGGCTGTCTGTTTTTCTTCATATATATTCTATCTTTAACCTGTATGATTCAAAGCTGAACTGAGTGTCATAGGGAGAATGAAAAGAAAGGTTCCGTGAAATCTGTGGGTAGGTAGGGGTGGTACAGATGGCCTGTGATGTGCAAGTGGGAGATAAAATAGGATTGAAATGTAAAAAAAAAGTATGGGAAGGGAAGAGAGGAGTTGGGACTATCAAGGTTCGGGACTATCCTCAGCCATACAATGATTTTCAAGCCAGACTGCTGGTCCACAAGAGTGCCTGTCTAAAAAACAATAAATAAACAAAAACAGGTATGGTGATGCAAGCCTTTAATCCAAGAATGAATGACACAGACCAGGGTATTCTCTGACAAAGGCTAGCCTGGACAACACAGCGAGTTCCAGGGTAATAAATATATTCTGAATGTAGTACACACTCTAGTCAGTACTCAAATAAAACACATTTCTCTAGCAGGTGGGAAGCACATTTTTCTTTCTCTCACATGAATGTTCTGAATCTTTCCCAATGATCAGAAATTACATTACCAACAAAACCAACTATTTGAAGGCTAAAGGAGAGAGATAAAGTATCAATATTTTTTCTAAGGTATGAAATGCTGGAAATTTTTTTGGCTAGTAGGACGGCCACTGCTACCCAAAGACACACTGTCTCATAAAAAACAAACAAAGCAAGGAACCAAAAAATTGTGTAAAGAAACAAAGACAAACACCTGAACATAATATTATAGAGCTCAAAAATAAAGCTATTTATGCCATTGTGGGAGTTCACTGCACAGTGTAACAACACGCTCTGGGATTTTGCTGCACTCACTCCCTTCTTCACATACACAGTGTCCCCCACTTGCCTTTTCCAAAATACAGTGCCTTAAGTTCGCTCTGTACATTCCAAACTCATGCCCTAAAGGATAAATGCAGGACTTCAGAGTAGGAGCAGGCTCCTGGCAAATTCAAGCATAGGAAATACCTATAGGGCTTGATAGAAATCATGAATGACTAGGTATGAGACAAAAGCCCATGACTTTCTCACACTTCATGTTTCAATGTAACTTTTCGGCCAAGAAAATAAGAACACACCAGCAATGGGATGCACTTTCTCAATGGATGGATAAAATAGACATACATGGCATGAGTACTCCTAAGGATTTAGTTATAAAAAACAACCTTTTGCCGGGCGGTGGTGGCGCATGCCTTTAATCCCAGCACTTGGGAGGCAGAGCCAGGCGGATCTCTGTGAGTTCGAGGCCAGCCTGGGCTACCAAGTGAGTTCCAGGAAAGGCGCAAAGCTACACAGAGAAACCCTGTCTCGAAAAAACCAAAAAAAAAAAAAAAAAAAAAAAAACAACCTTTGACTTTGAAATGATTTTCCTTGCCCAAGGCCATGAAGAAAGCCTCCATTCACTAGAGTAAATACTCCCAAACTCAGGATTTCACTGACTGCTAACAAAGAGGCCCCCATGGTCATTCCCTAGTGATGATGCAGAGACACTAAATGATTATCCTTGGGACCTCATCATGCCTGATTTTGCTTTCAGGGTCATGAAATAATTTCTTCAACACCACAGTTTTCTGGCAAGTAATAATGTCATTCACACACAAATTAAGATTTATTTATTTCATTTCATGAGTATGAATGTTTTTCTCATATGTATATCCATGCACCACATGTATGCTTGGTGTCCTTGGAGGCCAGAAGATGGCATTGTATCCCCTGGAGCTTGAGTCACAGACTACTGTGAGCCTCCTTGTG